TATGCTAAGTCAAATAAGTCAGAGAATTTCAGTTATATGTGGAATCTAAAAAACACAACAAATGGACAAACATAACTAAACAGAAACAGAGTCACAGATACAGAGAACAAACAGGTAGCTGCCAGAGGGGAGGGGTATGGGGGATGAGTGAAATACGTACAAACTATGAGGGAAATTAAGAGGTACAAACTTTCAGTTACAAAATAAATGAGTCATGGGAGTGAAATGTACAGGGGAGTATAGTCAATATATAGTCAATAATAATGTAATGTCTTTTTATGGTGAACAGGTGGCAACTAGACTTATCATGGTCATCATTTTGTAATGTATAGAAATATCGAATCACCATGTTTTATACAGTGTTGTAGATCAATTGTACTTCAAAAAACAAACAAACTTATAGAAAAAGATTTGTGGTTACCAGAGGCAGGGGGTGGGAGGAGGTGGAATTGGATGAAAGTGGTCAAAAGATATAAATTTCCAGTTATATAAGATAAAAAAGTACTAGGGGGCTTCCCTGGTGGCGCAGTGGTTGAGAGTCCGCCTGCCGATGCAGGGGATGCAGGTTCGTGCCCCGGTCCGGGAGGATCCCACATGCCGCGGAGCGGCTTGGCCCGTGAGCCATGGCCGCTGAGCCTGCGCGTCCGGAGCCTGTGCTCCGCAACGGGAGAGGCCACAGCAGTGAGAGGCCCGCGTACCGCAAAAAAAAAAAAAAAAAAGTACTAGGGATGTGGTGTATAACGTGATTAATATAATTAACACTGCTGTATGTTATATATGAAAGTTGTTCTCATCACAACGAAAAAATATTTTTTCTTTTTCTTTAATTTTGTATTTGTATGAGATGATGGATGTTCGTTAAACTTATTGTAATCATTTCATGATGTATGTGTGTCAAATCATTATGTTATACACCTTAAACAATGCTGCATATCAATAAAACTGGAAGGAAAAAAATAAAATTTTCTAGTTGGCTTTTTCCAGCCTGTGGAATCACAAACAAACAAAATAAACGAACAAACCAAACCAAACAAAAACAAACACACAGATGGTACAGATGAATCGGCTTGCAAGGCAGAAATAGAGACACAGATGTAGAGAACAAACGTATGGACACCAAGGGGGGAAAGTGGTGGGGAGTGGGTGGTGGTGTTGTGATGAATTGGGAGATTGGTGTTGACATTTATACACTAATATGTATAAAAGAGGTAACTAATAAGAACCTGCTGTATAAAAAATAAATAAATAAAATAAAATTCAAAAACAAACAACAGATACAGAGAACAGAGCAGTAGTTACCAGAAGGGACTGGGTAGGGGAGTGGGCAAAATGGGTAAAGGGCCTCAACTGTATGGTGATGGCTGAAACCTAAAGTTTTGGTGGTGAGCACGCTGTAGGGTATACAGAAGTACAAATATAATGTTTTACACATGAAGCTTATGTAATGTTATAAACCAATGTTACCTCAATAAGAAATAAATTTTAAAATTATCTTTGTTTCATAAAAATTTACCCTATTAGGATTGGACTGTGGACATTGTGGAGGCTGGAAAACCAAGCAGGAAAACTTTTCATTCATATAGAGATATTATGGCTTGAACCAAAACAGAAGTGGGGACAGAGATAGAGGATGGATTCCATGAATTGTTGGAAGGTAAAACAGGGAAAGATTTGATGATTAATACATCAAGTAAGGGAGAAATTCAGAGTAATTTCCAATCTGGTGTTGTGGATAGCTTGCACCGTCGTGCCATTAACAAAAAGGATACTGGAAGAGAAATGGGTTTGAGTCAGAAGGAAGAGCTATTAATGTTAATTTTAGAAAATAAAGAGTTCGACACTCATCCAAGTAGAGAAGTTGACTTGGAACTAAAGCTTAAGATGTCTCAGGAGACGATGGGTTAGGAGTCCTTTGATTTGGGAGTGAGTAAAGTGAAGTGAAGCATCAGTATTTTAAGGGAATGACTAGTGGCAGAGGAATCATCTAAGAGACTGAGGAAGATCTGCCAGAGTGATGGGAAGAGGACCAGAAGAGAGAGCATAGAAGGCATGATTCTAAGAGCTGTGGAAAGAGTGAGAGAGGAGGAGGTAGGGACAGGAGGGTGGGCCTCTCATTCAGAGAGGATGACGAGAGATCAGCAAGAGAAGTGGGGACGCAGGGACAAGGCACATATACTTGTGAAAGCTGAGCGCAAGGAACTGGGAGGTGGTGATTAACAGGGAGGAAAGAACAGGACTAGCTGATGAAGACACTATGAGCCACTGGAGGAGGAAAGTGGACAAGAGAGGCATCACTTCCTCTGAGCCAGGCGGGATGGAGGTGTGTAGGCTGAGAGGCAGGTGGATTTGAAAGCAAGGACGGGAAAAACTATTTGCTCACATGTAGTTTCAAGTTGAGTTACAATTTTAATGAGTCATGTGAGATCGCATCTAAGTGATGATAATAAGTATTTGACTCAAGAGCAAAATTCTCTTTCCTCACAGGAAACTAATGTGAATTAACAGAGTGTAAAACAGTCATCTTTTGGAAAAGTTTGAGATCCTGAGAAAATCATGTAGTGTACCTCTCACTTTCTCCTTCTCTAACATTCTTATGTAGGTGAAAAACAGGTTAAAATGAACATGGTGGGGATCCCTGAAGAGAAAAATGAGATCCATGGAAGAGTTAAAATGATAGCCCAGGGCTTCCCTGGTGGCACAGTGGTTGGGAGTCCACCTGCCGATGCAGGGAACACGGGTTCGTGCCCCGGTCCGGGAAGATCCCACATGCCGCCGAGCGGCTGGGCCCGTGAGCCATGGCCGCTGAGCCTGCGCGTCCGGAGCCTGTGCCCCGCAATGGGAGAGGCCGCAACAGTGAGAGGCCCGCGTACCGCAAAAAAAAAAAAAAAAATGATAGCCTGTCAGTACTTTACATTTATAAAATGCTTGGTGGCTTTTATTTCCCACGTTCCCTACCGGCTCCACTCCTGTGCTCTTGTTTTTCTGTACACTGCCCTCTCCATCTCCTCCTCACCTTCCCTCCTTACTACAAGGCTCATCAACCCTCTTTCTCCTCTGATACCAGGAGCACTTTTTATATTGTTCTTTGCTGCCCATCCCCATCTATCGTGCCTTAGAGTTGTGTGTACATGTTTTGTTTGTGCCATTCGATGTTATGTGTCTACAGTACAGGGAATGTCTTCTACTTTGTCTTTTACCCTCCACTATCCCTTGCTATTAGCAAACACTGAAGAAATATTTATTAAGTGAATATAATGATTCCCTTTTTATAGATGACAAAACAAAGGTACTTGAGATGAAATAATAAAGCTTGCAAGTGTAGAATTTAAGACTGTTCAGAGCTAAGGTCTTCTGATTCCAGGCTCTTTTCCTAAACCCTTTGCCTCTCTAGGAACATTAAGCAAGTGCAAAGGGGGAACATAGTGCAGAAAAAGTGAAAATGTGCATTAATATAGAGGCTCAGGTGACCCAGGCAAATACTAGTTGAGTCACTTTTTACTCTCCCAGTAGCCACTTGTAATGTCATTTGCCTGTGTCATGGCCGACCTTCCCTAGTTACTCTGATGCGAGGGTCACAACCAATGTGCCCACCTGGAGCTCAGCTGTTCTTTACGGATATCGCTGATGGTCAATATAGACATAGAGTTTGCTGGTGCCTTTACCAAAAGGATACTTTACTTTGTTGGCACTGTTAACCCATTGAAAATAAACCCATTTAATAGATAGCCTTGCTTTAAGTAGGTATATGATAGGATCATCCATGCTGCCCCTATCACATATTGACATATTTTAAAAGTTATGTGCACATTTTATCTGTAAAATTGTAGATAAGGATCAAATAAAATGCATTTTTGTAATGAAAAAGTTGTAATGTATAATTACAATGAAATGAAAAGTTTGTAATGTATAATTATTACCACACTGGCACCAGATGATGTTGTGTCTTCTTATCCTACTTCTCCCTTTGTTTCCTCTATACTCACCGTAGTTCCTTTTTCCTCATTTGAAACTGGGTTGTTCTTAGCTAACTGCCAAAGCCCTCATTTCAAATGATTAGCTGAGAATAGTTTAAAATAGTACATTTTCCAAGGATATTTGTAGTTTAACAGCATATATTTCATTTACTAACTTAGTGGTGAGGAAAACATTTTTTTTGCAGTTAATTTACATGATATTTAGAAAAATTACATTACAGTGGCAACCACCTATTATGTCCAAAAATGAAGCACACACCCTGGATATGTAGTATATGGTTCATGCAAACAAAGGCTGTCATATAAGAATCTACGGTGGTATAGTGTTGAGATTGAGATTTAACTTAGTTCACAAATCCAGCCTCAGATTTTCCCTTTTCCTCTGTCTCAAACCTGCAAGATATGGTATTTGTCTCATTTCATGAAAATGTAAAAATAAAACCGCAATACCATAGTCACCTTTTCCCCGCTTTTCTAATTGTTTGATAGAGACGAAGTTGAAATTGAAAGAAAACTCCCATTTTTGGAATAAATATTTTCCTGGCAATAACTTGTCCTTTCAGTGCCTTTCATTTTTTATAGCTCTAACTTTAGTAACCTTGACAGTGGGTATCTTTTTCACTCTATCCTGTTTAAAATTTTGTTAGTAGAGTCTGTCTCTAGTATCACGAATCTTATCTGCAAAGGCCACTAAGATAAGAATGCATAGAAAACTGACGCCAGGGCTACTAAATGTGTTTCTCATTCCTTTGACCCCTTTATTCTTTACCTCCAATTATCTATGAAATGGGTGCTGGATGAGTCCTCATGAATTGCCTTTGAGAAAACAAGAAACTTGACAGAAAATGCATCACGATTGTCCAATGGGATGATATGCCTCAACTTACTGTAGACGTAAAGAAACTTTGCAGACAGCCAACCCATAGTAAGCTAACTACCAAGGAGTTCACAGCAACCACAAAGATGTGTGAATGCTTAGAATGGCCAGGTTACATTTATTTTGTACCAAGCAAAGCAGAAAATTACTCTGTAGTTGACTTACTTCCTCTTTTGAGGAACCAAAAAGACAGTAAATATAGTTGAAAACAGAGAGACAGATTGTGGTCAAGCTTACAATAGGCCCAGTGAGTGGACAATATCTCTGGGTTATGACTAGTGGTTCCTCAGGAGGGATGGCTGGCCTACAAAGAAGCCACTGGATGAATTTCTCTAACTTGGTTGCACTGAGGAAAAATCTCCACTTTCCTCCGTGGACAAAAGTTAGCTTGATCCATGTATTAAAGTCTGGGTAAATACAAATGTTTGACTTTGCTTTTTGAAAGCTTCTTAAGGCATTTTAATGATTACTTTTCTTCAGAGCTTTAATTTGGGGAGAAATTGTTTTTTCCTCAAGATGATCAGTGGGCTTGGGATAACTGGGCACCTTCTCTGGTTCTGCTGAGATTTCAAGAGTCTGTAGAGGCCAATGTGTTCTTCAAAGTTTCTGGTTGTATGAGTTTGTGGAGAAGTTCTATGATCTATCCTTTTCTCTATCCAGAACCTCTAAACAATGTACATTGGAGCAAGAATTCTGGTTTTCCAATTCTGTCACCTTTTTCTTTAAAGCATCAATGTCTTCCTTCAGAGAGAAGATATCTTTAGTTACTGTGCACTGTTTGTCTTCACTAACATTCATTCTGGTTTCCAGTACCTCCATTTGCTTCTGATAAAAGTCAGTCCTTTCCTGGATTTTTGGTACTGGGCCCACAATGTCAGTCACTTGCCTGAGGATTTCAATCTGGGCAGTTTTAATATATCGGAGCATTACTATAACATTCATTTCTTCATCAGCGTTTACGTCATCTTGATCACAATCATAGGAAATCATAGTTGGATATCTAGTTGAATTTGGGTGCTGGTTCTTACATGTATGGTAAGCATTTTTTTTTCACGTCTTTATTGGAGTATAATTGCTTTACAATGGTGTGTTAGTTTCTGCTTTATAACAAAGTGAATCAGCTATAACATATACATATATCCCCATATCTCCTCCCTCTTGCATCTCCCTCCCACCCTCCCTATCCCACCACTCTAGGTGGCCACAAAGCACCCAGATGATCTCCCTGTTCTGGTAAGCATTTTTAAGACATTGTCTGATCTTGGAGAAATTTGAATTCCACATCTGCCAAGCAGCAGCATTTACCCTTTTTTTTGTTGTTGTTTGGTACTTGGGCCTCCCACTGCTGTGGCCTCTCCCTTTGCGGAGCACAGGCTCCGGACCTGCAGGCTCAGCGACCATGGCTCACGGGCCCAGCCGCTCCGCGGCATGTGGGATCTTCCCGGACCGGGGCATGAACCCGTGTCCCCTGCATCAGCAGGCGGACTCTCAACCACTGCGCCACCAGGGAAGCCCCAGCATTTACCCTTTTGGTGTGAAGTTTGTACATCTTTCATAATGAAACAAGAGACAAGGTGTTGGGAAATCTGACCAAAATTAAAGAAAGAAGCAATGTCAGAATGAAACGGTCTTTCTCTTACTATTTTTCCGGTGGCATCCTAGAACGCCCTATGGAGAACATCAAGGGCAATAGTAGGCACCCTTCGATGATTAGCTTCTTACAGGGCGGTCCAACTGGAGAGCTCTGTGAAATAATGGGCAATTGCATGGAATCCCTCATAGGCTGACCTGGTGCTGATGCCACAATGGCTGCTGGCTTAGAATATATTTAACCTTAGGGCAGTAATTCTCAAAATTTTTGGTCCAGGACTTTTTTTCACTCGTAAAAATTGAACACCGCAGAACTGTTGTTTATGTGAGTTATACCAATCGATATTCCATATTAGAGATTAAAACTAAGAAAATCTTAAGATATTAATTTATTTAAAAAATAAAGCCATAACATGTTAACATAAATGACGTATTTTTATGAAAAACTAATTATATCTTCCAAAAGAAAAAAATAGCGAAAGGGTGGCATTGTTTACATATTTGCAAATATTTTAAATGCCTGGAATACCTGGATTAATAGAAGACACCTCTATTCTCATATCTGCTTCTGCATTATATCTGTTGTGATATGTTGTTTTGGTTGAAGTATATGAAGATATTATGGCCTCACAGAGACATATAAATGGAGAGGGTATTTTAATGGCCTTTTCAGATCATTGAGGTTTTTATTCTTTGCTACTCCACCAAAATTTGACAAATGATAATTGATTAGAAGGTAAGTGTAATGTGTAATCTTACAACAGAATAATACTGTTACATTAAAATTCATTGGTCTATCTTCCATTTTTAATAGATGTGTAATATCATGCATTGGTCATTTGGAAAATAATGATTCACTGAATTATGCAGATCTTTCAAATGGTAACTCATTTTATTATATAATATCAAAATATCACATTCATTAATATCACCACCAGTCTCACCAGAAAAGTCTTTGAGTATTGGCAAGAGGCCCAGCTCATCGTGGCAGATAAAATTTTCTGAAATTCTAATTTTAGCTTGAAAAGCTTGAAATTTATTAAGCTTGTTAGTTGTTTCTCTTGAAGTGATAGGCTCTCTATATCCTTTTTTTTTTTTTTTTTTTTGCAAAAATGCTTGTCAAATACCCAAATATGAATACCGTAGTTTACTGCCAGTTTTTCTTTCAAAATGATGTCCCATGAAAAAAGCAGCTACTTCAGTTTGTAACTCAAATAAATACTTTTCCTGGAGACAAACCGTTATATTTCTGTAAGCAGCAGAAGTGCTTCATGTGTACTTCTCATTACATCACATTTAATATTAAAAAGACCTACTGAAGGTTGAGATTTAATAAAATGTAAAATATTTACTGCTTCATCAAGGACATTCTAGAGCTAAACTGGCTTTTTCTTGTATACATTCTTTTTTTTTTTTTTTTTTTGCGGTACGCGGGCCTCTCACTGTTGTGGCCTCTCCCGTTGTGGAGCACAGGCTCCGGACGCGCAGGCTCAGCGGCCACGGCTCACGGGCCCAGCCACTCCACGGCATGTGGGATCCTCCTGGACCGGGGCACGAACCCGCGTCCCCTGCATGGCAGGCGGACTCCCAACCACTGCGCCACCAGGGAAGGCCTGCATTCTTTTTTTTTTTTCTCTCTCTCTGAGTGGAGGTGAAGAATACAATCACGATTGATAGCTTACTGTCATTGCCTTGGCTTGTGCTAAGGTATCAGTTTTACCCACGCTTGCTTTTGCAAGGCAATTTGGAAAATTAAAATGACATGATAACCATGTCTGTCAAGGTGTAGTCCCACTTTATTAAAGAAGATATTTCTTCTTGGATCAGTGCCAGTTCCAACCCTCTTCTAAATCACTCCTTCTCATATTTATGCTTAAATGCAGGGCCAGCTTCAGCCTAGGTTTTGGTATAAACTCTGAATTTAGGCAAAAGTAATTTAAGAATTTTGGGTCATCAGTGATAACTGGGATTTTGCTTTACTGTCCTATCTTTGAATTGTTCTTTAGTAACTTTTCCAAAACTTCTAGAAACCTTTCCAAACTCTTGCTGAAAAAAAATGTTCCTATCACAGAAAGATATTTGGAGCCAGAAAAGGTAGTGTTCAAAGCTGTCCCATTTACCTTGGCCAAGGCCATTTTATCCATCAAGCACTACAGACACGGTGCTTAGGACCTATGAAATTTCAAGGAACCAATAAAAATAAATATTGTAGAGCCAGAAAGGGAAAAAAAAAAAATTGGGCTCAGAATACTAAAATCTGCAAGATTGAAACAATAAATGTTTAATTAAATATCTCCAAAGTGTACAGTTATATCATCTTCATTAATTGTTAAATTAGTATTAAAATTTCATTACATTTGGAGGCAATTTGTAGATTAGGTATTCTTGCTTTACAGGAATTCCCAGTTAAATTAGAGGGATTGCTTGTAGCAAATACTCCCTTCGGGTTAATAACAGTTAAGTCTTATTGGCTGCGTACCAGACATTGTTCTAAATATTAGCTTATTTAACTGTAATTCATAGAAGTCAATAATTTTCCTTTCTGCTAAAAAACGGGCAGAGTCAAATTTCAAATCCTTACATTCTAGCTCCAGGGTCCGTGTGTTTTTTCCCTACTGCCACACAAACAAATACGATAAAAATACATATTTGTCAACTCAAGAGAAAGATAGACATTTCACTTTTTAGAAAAAATACATTATATATTTATTTAAAAAACTTATTTTGATTAAATTTTTAGAAATATGAAAAAATTAATTTTTTGCTTATTTATCAAAGCTATTTGAAGCAGAACTTTGTAAAGACTTTAGAAGTTAAACTATCTCTAATTAGAGTAAGTAAACATGAACATTTAGAGGCTATTCTTGCCTTATGTAGTAAAAGTATAACAACTGTAATAAAAAAAGACTTAAAAATTTTCAACTAAAAATATTTATGTATACTGATTATTTTTATAAAACAAAAATTAATCTAGAAGACAGGTTTCTAATTACTTACCTATTAATGTTAACGAAAGGAGCCTCAGCCTATTTGGGGCTTTTTGGGCAGTGAAAAGCTGTAGTGGGAGAATACAAGCCTGTTGATCAGGGTCAAGTTGTGAGAGTAGTCAACATGTGAATGAATAATGGGAAAGGAGCTGACCCTCTCTCTTCATGTTCCTGCCAGAGATGTGGAGCCATTTAGGAGTAAAATAACATGGCAGACTGGAGCCTAGTTACTGACTCTTACCAAGGAAAAGTGTCCTTCAGGAGGCAGGCTTTTAAAGGAATGGTATTTGGAGCCAGAAAAATTAGAGTTCAAGGCCCTCCCATTTATTAACTCTGTGCTCTTAGTCAAGTTACTAACTTCTCACAAGACTGTAAAATGGTATAATAACAATACCTATTTCATAGAGTAGTTTTGAGGATCAACAGTGCTCAGTCTTTGAAAACTCTTTTCCTGCTCCTCTCTGACCATCTTCTTCTTACTCTCCTTTCAAATGAAAGAGGAAATGGTGAAGAGTTTTAAACTTTAGCTCTGCTCTCCCCGTCTCTCACTCTGCCTTTTATTCCTCTCCTTCAGTAAAGAGCCCACTGTACCATCATATGACCAAGACATAAAGCATGTGCTGCTCACTGTTCAAAAGCTACAAATGCAGATAAAGCATTTGGATCAGGACGCCAGAATGCAGCAAACAAGGCCAAACAAACTGGCATTCTGTCTCCTAGCACAGCTATTATAGCTAGCAAAACCAGCTATGGTGTCAGACAGCCCGGCATGTAATAACCAACGGAGAAATGGCTCTAATAATAGATAATCTTATTAATGTTTAAAATGCTGGTGTTTGAGTAAGTTAACTATAAATTAATTACGGTAGAGTCTTCTTTTTTTTTACGATTTATTATTTATTTATTTGGCTGCATCGGGTCTTAGTCGCAGCACGCGGGATCTTAGTTGAGGCATGTGGGATCTTTTGTTGCGATGTGCAGGCTTCTCTCTAGTTGTGGCGTGTGAGTTTTCTCTTCTCTAGTTGTGGCACGCAGGCTCTAGGGTGCGTGGGCTTTGTGGTTTGCGGCACGCAGGCTCTCTAGTTGAGGCACGTGAGCTCAGTAGTTGTGGCACACGAGCTTAGCTACCCTGTGGCACGTGGGATCTTAGTTCCCTGACCAGGGATCGAACCCACATCCCCTGCATTGGAAGGTGGATTCTTTACCACTGGACCACGAGGGAAGACCCTATGGTAGAGTCTTTATTTAATTAAATTAATTAATTAACTTTTGGCTGCGTTGGGTCTTCAATGCTGTGTGCAGGCTTTCTGTAGTTGTGGCGAGGGGGGCTACTCTTCGTTGCGGTGCATGAGCTTCTCATTGTGGTGGCTTCTCTTATTGTGGAGCACGGGCTCTAGGCACGCTGGCTTCAGTAGTTATGGCGCGCGGGCTCAGTAGTTGTGGCTCGTGGGTTCTAGAGTGCAGGCTCAGTAGTTGTGACACACGGGCTTAGTTGCTCCATAGCATGTGGTATCTTCCCGGACCAGGGCTCAAACCCGTGTCCCCTGCATTGTTAGGCAGACTTTAAGCACTGTGCCACCAGGGAAGTTTCTCTGGTAGAGTCTTGATTATCTATATAAAATCACCCCGATTTACATCTTTTTAAATATGCTTTTTCAAGTTGGGAGAGAATGGGGTAGAATTATAGTTATCCTGCTAGGATTTGGGCAATATTTGTACCTACAGTCATCTACTATTACTCGTGTACCCTTAGTGCTTGTGACCATGAAAAATTACTGCAAGTCTTTTTCTTCCCCCACAAAATATGAGGACCAGGTTTACCAGAACTTGGGCCCCCCCCATCTGAATATCACTTGTTACATGCAGAGTGAGATAAAAGACTGAGAAAACAGGAACCATGAAGGTCTTTCTGATTTGACCAGGGTGTCTGACCCATGGGGATAAGAATGTATTAATGAGAGAGCTCTAACCC